TCGAAATCGGATTAGTATTTCTTGGAATATCCAAGAAAACCTACATAAGGATATTTCCTCAAATTTTTCCTATGCATAGCATAGCAGGACCTACTTACTTTGATTAGCTATATCTGTTAAGATTTGAATTTATAGAGCCGCCCCTGTAACACGTGAAGAATTTTTTTTCCTTTGCATCTAGCAACACAGCTGGTTGCCTATGCGTAGTTATCAACCTATTATACTAGTTTATGTCTGTCTTTGTTAGTCGCATATTTATATGTATTTGTCTGCCTTTATTTCGTACCCTTTAGAGAATATTTTGTTTCTTCTAGAATATTAATTTTTAAGGGACAAGGACAAATGGGTAGTGTGAATAAAAATTTAGTGAAAGCTTTATCTTGCATTTCCTAAGCAAATACTTACTTTGCAGTGAATAAAAATGAGTATTAGCTTTAACTAAAAATTCAATTAGTAAAAGCTACAGTTTTTAGCATTGCCTTCAAATGGTGTGAATAAAAGTAAGCAATAGGGAACAATCATATTTTTCAAAGTATTTTTTTTCTTATTGCTTATGTTTTCAAATATAAAATGTATATGTTTTTTTTTGTTTTATGTCCTCATTGAAATAAAAAAAATTATTTTGAATTTCAAATTATTTTCGTTGGCGCGAAAACGATTAGCTTCAAGATGGTGGCATTTGTGACGTCAACTGTCTGTAAACACAACGTTAAGGTCTGTTCTCACAAGAGCCTTTGATACTTTGCAAACTGTCGGAAAGAATCGCTTAGCTTGAACCTTCAACTGCATTGAAACTTGAAAGCGGTTATTTATGCGGTATTTCCATATTTAGTGCCATATTGTGACATTTTGTGTTTCAAATAGTTCATCAGTTCATCATGGTTGATACAGGATTTACAAAAGTGCAGTCTGACAATCTTTCCTCTATAGACCCGTTTATGGTGGTTCAATATCAGTCGGTGCGTGACGTGAGCTGATCCTGGACCAATCGTTCCACGATTCAAGAGTGAACCACAAAAGTGTGGACCATTGATTTTCGATCAGTGTGAACTATCCTTAACCTTAAATTACGAACAGTTGACGTCACTAGAAGCGGCCATGTTAAACGTTACTTTTTCGCGCGAAACTTTTCAATTTAAAACTAATAATTGCCATATGACTATAATGTCCATAAATTTAATACAAAACTGCTCATATTCAATATTTTACACAAAAATGTGCACCATAAAAACAAAATAAGCCATATTTATTTCCTATGAAAATTCCCTATTCCTAATTATATGAAGGAAAAGCTTACATTTTTGCAAGCCTGGTAAACCTTGGCTTAAACATTTAGTGGTGTTTAAAAGTTTGGAAGAAATGGCTGCGTTTTTGAAAATAAGGTCTGCGAAATTTCATCCCGAAAGAAAAGAAAGTCGTTTCGAGGTCGCCGAGGAATACCACAGTCTCTCAATTCGAGGTTGGCTGAAGATTTTTCAGGAACCTCCTCCTCCAATAAATCACTATCAGAATTACAAAAATAAAACTTATTCAGTCTTCTTTTTGTAATTTACAAAGCTCCACTGCAAGAAAATGGACTATTAGTATTTTTTCAACTTATAGAATTGTCTGAATCACTATTCATTTTCACCTTGAAGCGCTGGCGTTCGATACCGCTACTTATTTAAACGGGTACGTTCATCAGTACTTAGCAGCTTACTTGCAGTGTAAAGCAGTTGAGGACAGTTGAGATACAACGGATGTAAATCTCCTGAACGCATAGTTGAGAGTTATGACAAATGACAATTCAATAAGTTGAGTTGGTAAGCGTAAACTTTTACCGCTTAAAGAAATCGGCAGCAGCTGACAAAAAGCGGTTTTTAGTGAGCGAATTGTTTTTCCCTACTACTCAACTGTTGGCGACAGTGTGCTAGTGATCGTACCCAATCGCGTTCAGCGGCGCTCAGTTAAAGCCGCTTTTTGTCCTGCCGATTTCTCTAAGCGGTAAAAATTAACGCTTACCAACTGAATCTATGCGCAGAAGTGTCGGGCGTTCAGGAAATTCAGATCCGCTGTGTCTCAACTATCCTCAACTGCGTTACCCTGCAAGTTAGCTGCTGAGTACTGGTGAACGTACCCAATTATTGACTTCTTTCAATGTTTTCACGCCGCCGGTCATAGCTTTGTTCCAACACATCAAGAAACCGTACAATGCACCATCATGATTCTGCGGAAAGCCAAAAATTTGTGCGTAGAACCCGAAATTCCTATACAGAGTGGTTTTTAGACCGTTCATGGGGCGGTTTTTGACGTGTTGGAACCAAACCTCATACCATTCCGGTTTATAATAGTTATTTATGTATCAAGGGTACTAAGTAGATGATTATGCCCCGAGGGCGACAGTCTTACAAAGCTGAGGGCCTCTGGCCCGAGGGTTCGTAAGTTGCCCGAGGGTATATATATCTATTAGTACCCGATGCATACAAACTTTTATGTCACACCAGTTGGTTGTGAATAATAAATACCTGGGAAAAAAGTGTAACTTCGCAAATTATCATCAGTGTGCAAACATCATCATTTTTTGACAAAAATAATATGTTTATAAGCGTAAATTTATATTTTGTTAATAAAGAATAAGTTAATTGAAAACTCTTTTTTGCAACTTTATGCCCGCGCGGGCCATAATGTGTACTTTATGCCCGCACGGGCATAAAGTAATGAATTATGTATATGGTATCTAAGGTATAAAAACACAATAATGTATTGGTATGACATAATAGTTATTTATGTATCAAGGGTACTAAGTAGATGATTATGCCCTGAGGGCGACAGTCTTACAAAGCCGAGGGCCTCTGGCCCGAGGGTTCGTAAGTCGCCCGAGGGTATATATATATATCTATTAGTACCTGTGGTGCATACAAACTTTTATGTCATACCAGTTGGTTGTGAATAATAAATACCTGGGAAAAAAGTGTCACTTCGTAAATTGTCATCAGTGTGCAAACATCATAATTTTTTGACAAAAATAATATGTTTATCAGCGTAAATTTATATTTTGTTAATAAAGAATAAGTTAATTGAAAACTCTTTTTTGCAACTTTATGCCCGCGCGGGCCATAATGTGTACTTTATGCCCGCACGGGCATAAAGTAATGAATTATGTATATGGTATCTAAGGTATAAAAACACAATAATGTATTGGTATGACATAATAGTTATTTATGTATCAAGGGTACTAAGTAGATGATTATGCCCTGAGGGCGACAGTCTTACAAAGCCGAGGGCCTCTGGCCCGAGGGTTCGTAAGTCGCCCGAGGGTATATATATATCTATTAGTACCCGTGGTGCATACAAACTTTTATGTCACACCAGTTGGTTGTGAATAATAAATACCTGGGAAAAAAGTGTAACTTCGCAAATTGTCATCAGTGTGCAAACATCATCATTTTTTGACAAAAATAATATGTTTATAAGCGTAAATTTATATTTTGTTAATAAAGAATAAGTTAATTGAAAACTCTTTTTTGCAACTTTATGCCCGCGCGGGCCATAATGTGTACTTTATGCCCGCACGGGCATAAAGTAATGAATTATGTATATGGTATCTAAGGTATAAAAACACAATAATGTATTGGTATGACATAAAAATATAAATATCGGCTTTATCAGTATAAAAACTCGCAAACACACTTTTTGAGAAGGCTGTAGAAATTTCACGCAATCTCCGTATTTTCAGTAAACGCTTCAAATATCTAGCTTTTGCTAGTTAGAAAAAAGGAAAAGGTTATTCACTTCAATTTCAGCAAATGCTATTAGCAAAAGCTTAATCTACCTAGTAAAAGCTAAAGCTATCACTTAATACTAAAAGTGAAAGCTTAGTTTTTATTCACACTGCCCAATGAGAGAATTATTATGATTGATCGCCATACTGTTATACTGTAATCACGAAATTTTTCCTCTCTGTAAAACTTAAATAAAATCTAATAAAATAAAACTAAATTGTTTTTAAATAAAAGTAATAATACCCAAAAGTCAAAAATTAAACAATATCTACTATCACAGACATACGATCCTCTTTACATTTCAAATTTTTCTTTGCAATGATGAATCCTTTAAAATATTGGAATTTGGTTGAAATTTACGGGGGCCTATTTTCAATGTTAATTGTGCCTCCTCCTTTATCGTAGTTACGGAAGTCCAAACTGGATACAAATTTGGAGCTTATTAAGATAGTAGTCCCCCTATTATTGAATGTTGCTCGGCAAAATTTAGATAGAACGTAATAATTTGGGACATCAAAAGGTTCTCCCTCTTTAAAAGCCAATGTTCTGTAAGAAGGACGAGATACGGGAGTTTTCTACTTTCTAGAAAGACAAACAATCCATAGACTTCACCCCTTGCTGACTGAATGTTCAAAAACATGAGTATAGTATGACATTTGAGGAGAGCCTTTAACTCTTTGAAATTCAACAATTTTAGTAAAGTTTGGAAGTTTGAAATAAAATCTTCCAGTTCTTGCTATCCTAAAAGTAATGGTTTATCATGCAATGTAGGTGATAATCTAACTTACACCTAGGAATACATAGATATTGAAAAATTTTACAATACTGGTAAACTTATTATAACAGTGTGAATTCACCAAGGAGCGAAACCGTCGGAATTCTTTGTAAAAAGATTATCCTTTTATTAAAGTTTATACGAAGGTAATCCGAACAGCTAAATAAAAGAGTCGCGTACCGGGACTGCCCAATTTACCAATATAACCCGATGAAATTACGATTCTATGTTGGGGAATTAAGGGTTAGTTTGAAATCAAATTTTGATGAAAATTAGCTTAGATCGGGATAATTTAAAATTTAAACCTGTTAAAACTTCGACTATCGAAATGCAATAGGTCCTATTTCAGTGAAAATTTAAGTTATAGAAAACGCTTACATACTAAATACAAATGACTTTAGGCTTGAAAAATCAAATCAAATCAGTACCTAGTATGTACTTTTTTCAATTAACATTCAACCAACCTCTTTCCGGAGTCGTATCTCCCCGATGATCCAACGGACTTGGTTCTCTAGCCGAAGCCTGCGGCACAGAATTACGCTTTTCTCTATCTTTATCACGATCTCTATCGGTACGATGGTGATGGTCTCTATCGTTTCTTTCTTTGCGAATATCTTGTGTCGGTGGCTGCGGCGATGGCTGAATAACAGGCTGAAAATTTGCAATATAATGACATATTATTTAGAAGTTATGCAAGATTTTTTACTTGTATGCTTTGCTCGGGTCTATAATGGTTCAGATTAGCGTCTGTAGGGGGCGACCGTGCTCTAGCCGGTCCCGATCCGTTTTGATAGCTATTTCTATGATTCGAGCTTGTAATTTCTTCTAGCTGCTGCTGATGCTGTATCTTCATGTTGCTTCCTTTCACCGTCATCACCCAATCTGTCGATTCTAAATCGCTATCTTGTTTTGGCTCATCACTAAAATAACATGTTTTATTCAAAAATAACAGATTTTAAAAAAGTAAAACTTACGAATCTGAAGGTTCCGATTCGGTTTCGCTTTCCTCATTCCTAGAACATTTCCACTTTTTGTATCTGTCTATTAGATCTATTAAATAAGAATTTTTCTTTGCTTTTCTAATAAATGGGTATTTGAGCAATTCTTTGGCTGTTGGTCTCTGTAATACAAAAAAAAAAACATTAATTTGAAGGAGTTTGATCAATTCAAAATACAGAACAGTGGAAACAACTTGAGGCAGTAAACGTGATGATATTGTATTATAGATGGAGGAATACATTAAAATAAGGGTTTTAAAATAATACCAAAATCAACAGAGTTTGGAATTTTTCTGGTACCGTACATCCCACATTCTTACACATCCACTAAATACTATATACATACTTACATTTTCAGGATCCTTATTCAAACAGGCCTCGACGAAATCTTTGAACTGTTTGCTATAGCTACCGGTCAATTGGGGTGGATTATTTTTCGGTATCAAAAAAAGAACGCGCATCGGATGCAATTCCGAATTGGGCGGTTCTCCTTTGGCCAATTCGATTGCCGTTATCCCTAGAGACCATATGTCGGCCTTCGAATCGTAGGCCGATTGTTTTATCACCTCGGGAGCCATCCAAAATGGAGTTCCTGAAAAAATACAAGAAATTGTTGAAATATCTATTTAACAAAGAAGTATGCAAACATGAGATTTATCAAAGATCGACAATAATTTTTTTTATATATTTCTAAAAGTTCGAATTAACTTAATAAAATAACTCAAACCCAATATATTTTAAAGAATCTAGGTATGTAGATAATTCAAATGTCCTTTAGAACGATGTGTTAAAACTTCCACTTTGTTGTTGTAAATCTTCAATTTACCATCACTTGTACTTTATACTGCCATACTTATTATTTTATCATTGTTCTTTTCTTGTGTCTTTTTTAACTGACCAGTTCAAGGTTCAAGCCTTATATACTCCATTTTCTTTTGTTCCTCCCTGTTATGCTGACCTCAATTTTCCCTCAAGGTGTTAGAATATTCCCCTCATAATCATAAAGCCCTACTGCATTGATGCTATGTAGGAGGAAAAATATTATATAAGAATTATAGTTGGATTTTGAATAGATAATAATTTATAATTATTTGGCAAATATTTTGAACTCCATTCAAATATATTGCATTAATAATAAGTTTAATATTCATAAAACACGCTATAGGAACAGGAACAGCTGGCGTATAATGGTTATTGGTTTGGCTCTATATGGATTTTCTAAAATTAAAATATCTCCGCCACGATACATAAATCAGAACGTAAATAAACTATTTTCTCACCCAATTACCATTCTTTCAGTAAAAATCCTATTTATGTGGTAAGAGGAAATAATTATTATCATATATTTATGCACCTGTTATTTTGTAATAAATTTATGAAAAAGAAATATTTAATTATCCGTATGCAGTTATAGTTATACAATCACAGTAACTACTTGTCAATACTTTCAATTTCTGCATTAGACACTGTTACAATTTTAATTCCAAATTTATTACAAAATTACAATCTTCCGTAATTACTGCACCCTTTTTAACCCTCTAACATTTTTATGGCGCAGCAATTTTTAGCGTGTAATTAGGCTAATACCGGATAAAATGTATGCACCGTAGTTCTTGACCCGTCATTATTAAAGTTCACGCTTCTGCACTAAAATAATATTTGACGGTTTTCCTCGCATTTCGCTTGGCTCGAGCTTGAGGGAATTTAAATTCAAATTCTTTATTGATGTTAAGACTACAAAAGGGATTTTCCTGTATAAATGGGTGTCACCCAGAAGATAAACATTATTGCTCAACGACTATTACAATTTATAAATTCTATACAATTTTTGATTGCAAAATAGCTTCATCAGCACAAAGAATGTTCATTTTCTAATTTGTTACAAATGACTCTCTTGTTTAATAAATATTGATATTGTAACGAAATAACATCGAGAGCCGAAGCCAATGTACGGGGTCATCCAACAAGGACTGCAATACTAACAAAACTGATAACAACAGCAACAAAAAGACCACTTTCAACCTATCTGAACAGAGAACACATTCTAAGGCTGTCACAAGCATAATTTACCAAAATGTACAATTTATCTATAACTCCACTTATAAGATAAAATAAACGACACAGTAACAAACTGCAACATTGTTTGTGTCTCAGAACACTGGAAAAGTGAATAGCAACTTAAACAATTAGGAATCAAGAACTTTGCGTTAACGTCATGGTTCTGCCGCGAGGAACCGAGGAAGAACGACATGGAAAAGCTGCAATTTATGTGTACCAAAACATCTCTCTAGAGAACTTTTAACTTTATCTCAGAGCATCTCAGACGAACAAGAATCTCCACGTCTCATTCCAAATGTAAAACTTTCTTCTGCAACACGAACACCAAATTAAACAAATAGTTACTGCAGCTCTCCCAAAAAGGAACCCCATATCTTCTTGAGACTTGATAAGAGTAAAATGAATCATCTTACCAGCAAATAAGTCTAGTTCCGTCGCACAGCATAACAGCCAGAAGACAGTTTTGCACTGTTTTTCATTGTGTGTTACAAAAGTTGCAAATCAAAATGAATACCCAGAAAAATAACATTGCCAGCCAGATTGTTAATAGTTAGTGAACACAACTGGATGTCATTTAAGGTACATTTAAATGTCAATAGGTTTGTTTTTTCAATATCAAAGTTTCTGTAACAATATACTGTGACTGACACAATCAAATGGTCCCAGGGCAAAGAACACTGCGCCAGCGATAGAAACTATAGAAAACGCGGTAACGCAGCTCAGCCGGTCAGCTGCTCCCAGACATGGGCCAAATGTTTTAAATCATTTTGAAAGAGGCAAATTAGCAAGAAGTGATCCTTGCAGCAGTGGCAATTGCAGGAAGAAAAGCGCCGCAGCCGCGAAATTTTTGGGTCTTTACGGTATTTTTTGGACTTCTAATGATGGGGGCAAGCAAAATGCGGCTATTTCAACAAATTTTGATGAGAATTTATAGTAGAACGTTACTTATAATGTTCCTATGTATTTGAATATTTTCCATTTTGAATTATTAGTAAAATTTAAAGGCCTTTGTCTTAACCGGCTACAAAACAATTCGACTTATTACTCCCTATGTGTCTAGTAGGTTTGTCCGGTCTGTCTACACATTTTCCATGATAAACTAGGTAGAAAAGGCCAGTGTATTGGTACATGATGCAAACGGAAAGGAAATAATCTAACGACTTATCGAAAAAACGTATATTCCTGCACGTGTATCTTGGTGTACTTCATCATGCTTATTCATCAAGACAACTTATTGATTTTATGTATGGTTTTGGAATTTGTTGTAGCTATGACGAAGTATAATGAGGTAAAAATCTTCAATAGCAATTACAGTTTGCCGTAACATGCAATCAGCAAACTTTGAACTACGGGGAGCAAATAACTTGAAGCCCGATTGTCTGATTCAAACGGTAGTGGACAATTTTGATATACAGATCTCCTCAGCAAATGGACTGAAATCAACACACTCCCTAGCTATGATGCGTCGCTTTCATTCAAAACAAATTGAAAAAAACTTAACTTATGGCACGAAACAAACTTATAATAGTTATTTATGTATCAAGGGAATTATGAGGGTGTTAATACCCCAGGGCAAAGTTTGTGTCCCGAGGGCCTTCGGCCCAAGGTACAACAATTGCCCGTGGGTATTAACACCTGATAATTCCCGTGGTACATAGATAATTTTATTTCCTACTGAATTTACTGTATTTTGTCCATTTTTATAAAGAAATAAACCATAAACCATAAACCAAAATTTCTATTTTTTGTCAAAGTTTCACCTATTCAAAGTAAAAGCGGGAGTTATGGAAATCCTTAACTCCCTTGGGAGTTATGATATCCTTAACTCTCGCGCGGGAGTTATGAAATCCTTAACTCCCTTGGGAGTTAAGACCCTGTTTATGATTATCGTAACCAAGGTATTATATGGTTATAATAGTTCAGTAGGAAATAAATAAGTTTATATCCTACTGAACTATTATAACCATTTAATACCTTGGTTACGATAATCATAAACAGGGTCTTAATTCCCAAGGGAGTTAAGGATTTCTATAACTCCCGCGCGGGAGTTAAGATATCATAAATCCCAAGGGAGTTAAGGATTTCCATAACTTCCGCTTTTACCTTGAATAGGTAATACTTTGAGAAAAAATAGGAACTTTGATTTATGGTTTATTCCTTTTTAAAATAGACAGAATACAGTAAATTCAGTAGGATGTAAAATTATCTATGTACCACGGGAATTATCAGGTTTTAATACCCACGGGCAATTGGTGTCCCTCGGGCCAGAGGCCCTCGGGACACAAACGTTGCCCTGGGGTATTAACACCCTCATAATTCCCTTGATACATAAATAACTATAATGACATGGCCAAAAAATTAACTACCTATATACAGGTTTGACAGGTCAACACGCCAATTTTAATGCAATAGAATGAAATGTCTAGAAACATAAAGTTGAATAGAGACCGAAAGATAACGATTTCCCCTGTCCCACCTCCAGCATTCCCAGCGCTCTTTGGCCACCTTGTTGTTGTCTTCCTCCGCTTCGCGACAGGAGGCAAACCACATCTCGCTCTAAAATCATACTTTTTTCCCTTGTATAATGAATAACTAATATTCATGGGATGTTATATCTTTCGGTGTTAAAGTTGCTCAATATATTGGGATATAGAATATCATCCATAACTCTTTGGAATGTAGCCGGCGCGTTCTTCAAACCAAAGGGCATGCGCAAGAATTCATAATGCTCGTTTTCTGTACTGAATGCGGTTTTTTCGATGTCGTTGTAATGCATCTGAATCTGGTGGAAGCCGCTGCTAGCTAAATCTAAGATGGTGAAATATTGACAGCGTCCCAGCTTGTTCAAGAGATCCGTTATGTTGGGTAATGGGTAGGTATCTATTATCTAAGCTTTTTGTATTAAGGCCCTTAAAATTTACTATACTATACTAAACAAGAAAATATTCAAACTGTTTGTCGAAGTGGGTATAGTAAAAACAACAAAAACATAAAACACACAAGTTTGATATAAAAATAAATAGTTAGGAATGTTAGGATCAGGAACTCAATACTTTTGCACCTACCCACTACACCCACTACATACAATGCCAAAATCACTATGGGGGCTCCGCCCCCATAGCAAATTCACTACGGGGGCTCAAGCCCCCATTGCCCCCATGGTTCCAGCGCCTATAGCAGGAAACCGTACAATGCACTATCACGATTATGCGCAAAGCGTAAAATTTGTGCGTAGAAACAAAAATTCGTTCACTGAGTGGTGTCGAAACCGTTCATAGGAGGTTTTTGATGTGTTGGAATAGACCTAATATCTCCCTCCTATAAAACAATTTTGAGTTGCAATTTGGGTTATCCCTGAACATATACCTTTCACACAATTATAAAAGAATAACATTTTTATAAAACAAGTTGTCGTGGTGATGTAACAAAATAGGTAGGAAATTGTTTAACGAGTGACGAAAACAGCATTTCTCGCAACGAGAAAATGTTTTTGTTGCAAAAAATGGTTTATGACGAGTGAAACACTATACTTTT